AAAAAGACAAAAATGATTGTAACTGGAATTTAGGTAAAAGAGTTCTCCATGTAATGCTTTCTCCTTTTAACGTTTAGATGCTATACCCCTACCCGCTGACATTAAGATACTCCTTTGCCTCCGTTTGTGTTCCTTTTAACGTAGGAATTCGCAGGAAACACTGATCATTTTCTTGTTGTGAGTCATTTGCTGAAAAATCCAATCAATGTCACTCGTTATATAAGAATTTATCCAGTGGCTTGGAACAATGGTATTAGCTTACGAGCGGACTTCTATGGCTGCAAATCAGGTACGCTGGATTATGCCATTATTTTTCACCATCTACAAAGTTATTAGGATTAATTCTACATAATATCTTCTCTTCTTCTCTACTTTGACTTAATCAGTTACTCAAATTCCAATTACTAAGAGGAGCGAATGGAATGCGAAACCAATGTTTATTAAATTTTGTTATGCAGTATTTGTACTATTTCTTGTAGAAACAGGGTCGTAATATTTTTTTGAAAAAAGAACAATAAATTTGAAAACATGTTTCGACAGAAATTTCTATAGTGGTCATTACGATGTAGCTAGAGCAGTGAAAGCGTTCTTGTGATCCAAAAGACGCAATTTGTGTATAAGCCTCTTTGAGGTGTAGTGTACAAAGAATATCAAAGAATAGCAGGGCGTCTTGTTCATTGCTAAGGATATAAAACGACGCTTAATAGATGACGTCGGAAAAAATAGCGCACTGCACTGCTTCATCCACAGTCCTCCCAAGGTGGGCATGAAAAGGTTGGCGAGAACTGGTGCGAACATGTAGCATGGGCTGTTACTATGTCTATTTTCACCCTCCAGGTGTATGCCACTGATACCTCCAGGCTTAACCAGTTATTTCTGGGTAATTATAATGTTCAATTACCTTCTTTTTTAAGGAACGGGAGCGAGCTCACCTTGGTAATGCTCTTGGTCGTAAAATTTTCGAACCGTTGGTCTATTATGCAATCATGCAAGCTGGGATTTTAAATAACAAATCAGTTCATATGAATTTAAGAAAATTAATTAATTAAAAATGTTGGAGAAAAATTTATTTACATGGTTGGCTTATTTCAAGGCTTTTTTATTTTAAACAGAAATGGAAATCCCGCAAACGGTATGTGCTTCTCCGCTGGGAATGGAAAACGGAAGGATACCAAATTCAGCCATTGTGGCATCGTCACGTTACACGTACTCCTATAGACCGGAACGAGGGAGACTGAACAACCAGGGTAATGTTTTCTATCAAAATATCATCGACCATGAGATTAAGCCAAAAGGCCTTAAATAAAAACTCAGGAAAATCATCGGTGTAATTTTGTACATGGAAACGTGAAACTGTTTCTTTTAAGTGCCCTATCGAAGAATACAACAGAACAAATTGGACAACCACAAGATAGCGCGCTGGTTACGTGACTAATCATAACCATAACCATAACCATAATCATAATCATAATCATAATCATAATTATATAGAAAGAAAACCCTATTAGTTATGTTGAACTGATCACTGAAGCTAACCACCGTACCCCCAAACGGCATTGCAATTACACCAGCAGGATCATCTACTGACTCGCACACAGTAAACAATGGATAAACCGCTCAGTCAATTCACATTCCTTGTTTACTTACGAAAACTAGTTACAACGATGTTGATCCTCGATTGTGAAGGCTGTGTACTGTTTGAAACAGCGTTAAATCGTGGAATTGAAAAGTTCGCTTTTGTAATTACGTTTGTTTCCAGAAAACACAAAACAGATCTCAGATGTACTTAGAGCAAATACTCAATATCATCAATATGAACTATTAAATAAGACTTTATTCTGTAGACATCATTTGTCCTCCTTTCGTTTTCTATATTTCTTCATTTCCCCTGTTTTCAAATACAATATTAAAAGGAGGATGGATATCTGACGATGACTGGAAGGACAATCAGTTTCTACATATTGACTTGGAAAATGTTACCAAGGTGACCAGGATTGCCACTCAAGGGACATCTGATAAAAACTGGTGGACAAAAACCTATACCCTGGATTACAGTTACGACGCGGTAACATTCAAAACATATAACAATGGTCAGGTATAGAAATAATTTCTACAGATACAGATAATATATACAGTCGAACCTCCCGTAAGCGACCACCCAAAATGTAAACCCTAGTTGGTCGCTTATGGGAAGTGGTCGCTAGCGAGAGCTAAGACCATATTGGGTTAAAATTTTGCCTCATTAGAACATGGTAATTTGAAGACATTTAAGGTGGTCTCTTTAAGACTGATACATGTAGTGTAAATGTATGTGCATTTTTTTTCTTTAAATTTTTCAATGTTTTATTCATGTTAAAAATCAATTCCGAGAAAAAATCCGGCATTTCCCAGGAATGCAATAATGTTGCAATTTTCGCTGTATTATCTGTCAAGTGGTCGCTTACGAGAGGTTAAAAACACAATAAAATTTCAGTCTTTTAGCCGTAAAAGTGGTCACGGTCGCTTATGGTGGTCGCTTACTAGAAGTTCGATCCAAATATAGTGATTTGACCGGGAAACGTTTGGTATTTTGGAAAACTAGTCGCTGAGGAAAGGTGGTCGCAACCGGAGGGTCGACTGCATACATATCATATAAGTAATCAAACAGGGGGCAAATTCCGCACACAAGAACCCACACAGCAGTGGGTGTCGATAACCGCTCTATGCTTAAAGAGCTTTATTTATTAAGCCTATCTTTAAATGATTTAATGTTTATTGTATAATTTTAGCTTAAATTTCTTTCTCGCACCCTAAAATATACAACAAAATAAGCTCGTGTGAGAGAGGTTAAAATCTCAGCAAAAATTGCCTGATTGGGCCTTTCTCTTAAATAATATACAAAAGTAAGGTTAGATACCTCTTAAAAAACACAAAAGCACCTGCGTTATGAAAGGCTCTCCTGGGAGACAAGGCTATGGGTATAACACAGGGCCGGTAACAAAAGATAGGGTTAAAAGTCTAAGATGCTCACGTTCATACCATTTGAAGGTTCTGCAAGGAAACAGAGACAGTGTTCATACAGAAGGCCGCATTCTCGATCCTCCAATCATTGCTCGTTTTATTAAAATAAACGTTAAAACACACAAAGGAAGGCCGTCATTAAGGGTGGAGCTGTACGGATGCAGTAATGGTATGTAAATTTTGCTCGTTTGCAATTCGTCCCTTTGTACCTTGAGGATGTAATTATAGTAGGTGGGTAGGTGGGTAGGAAAACTTTATTTTTTTAAACACGCTTGCCACGTCAACTAAACAAGAAAAGAAAGAAAGCTGATTTCCACAAGGGGCGTGTGGCCATAAGAAGAAAATTAAAACTATCTTAATTATCTGATGTATATATATCTGACATACTTGTAAAAAAAACGTTCAAAGACAGTTCCATCGGCCATAAGCGCCATGGCCACGCTCCTGGCTAGAACCCTGGCTAGGAGATTGGCCCGTCACGCATGCACGTGACATAGGCCTATTCCGCAGGGTGCCATGCCAACACAGAACCCTCACACAATGTTCTAGTACAACTTAACATGGTGCCCAACTACACAGTCAATGATCAACGTTATTTGGCACGGACAACTCAAGTCTAGCTAAGTGAAGGTGTCAGTAAAGGATGCTCTCCTCTCCCTCCTGCTTTTGATAGCTGGCCACCAGCAAACCACCAGCAGATAGGCTAGTGACTGGGCCACGTCCCCAGTCTGGCCTTGACGGAAACCTCCTAGGTTCAGAGCCAATGGCCAAGCCTGGGTTTGGGCACAACCCTAGCCCAGGCGAGAACCTAGCGGGCATGTTTTTGCGAAATCGCTCAGATATATTACTAATTATTTGTAATAACACTAAGACACCAATTACTTTAACTAATTTCTAATGGAAAAGCAGCTAAGATATTCAAAAGTGTGCAACATTAATTCTGTTATTAAAAAAGGCAAGAGTTTCCAAGTAGCAGAGTGCCGCAGGAAGCGAATTCCCAAGTGTGCTGTACTACAACTAAAACTTTTCTTTAAATTAATATTCAGTCACGGGTTGCGGTAACTGCACCAAAGTGGGGTTATAATACAGAGTATTTTTCTTACCAGAGAAAAAAGTTTGCCTACTCAGATACTTTTATACATTTGACACTTAAATAAAGGTTCTTATCTTACCTTATCTTATCTTATCCTATGTTATCTCCGTTTTGATCACCAATCAAAATAGGTTTCCCGAAGCCGAAGCCTCCAGTGTGTTTAGAAGCTCTTGGAATGCAGAATAAACAAATTCTAGACTCTGCTATAACAGCTTCCTCTGAGTATCGAAGTGCTTCTTATGGAAGGTTACATTTCCTGCGCAGATCATGGCAAGTTACTGGTGGCTGGGTAGCACAATGGAATGACAAGGATCAATTTTTCCAAGTAAATTTTATTGACTGGAGAAAAGTAACGCGAGTGGCTATTCAGGGAAGAGTGGATGAAGATCAGTGGGTAGAAAGTTTCAGCCTATCTTATGGATTCGACTCGGTGTTTTTTCAAGATTACACAGAGGAGGAAGAAAAGAAAGTATGTCAAAGTGCTTGTTTCGTTCAATTCCTTGCCATTCGGAAGGATAGTGGCAAATAATAGTATGCTGAAAGATATGGATTCAATTCCTGTCATGGGCAGGGCAAGTAACTCCAACCAAAAGTGTGAAATAAAGGGCAACTAGCAAATGTTAGGGCAGGCTAACTGAATACCGTTTATTAATGGGGGCAGACTTGCGATGGACTAACCTTTGCAAAAGATAGCAAACATTGGGTCTCTTTACTTTGAAGTCTGTGCATAAAAATTGAAGTGATGAGTTTCAGTAAGCTTGAAGAACAATCTTGTCGTGGAACTGTTTCGCGATAATCCTGTGTCCTGTCTGGAATTAACCGACCTTTTCTAAAATTATACTTGTGACATGTGCCTGAGCTAATTTACTGTATGTGGAATCAAGATCATGAAAAACATTCACCGGACATTATTAATCAATTTTCACTTTCCCTTATTCTTCTAGGTATTTCCAGGAAATTTTGATCGATATACACCTGTTAGTCACGATCTAAAAAATCCAATTATTACTCGATACATTCGTATTAACCCAATTACGTGGAAATCCCACATTTCTATGAGGGCAGAGTTCTATGGCTGTAGGGAAGGTAAGATTTTATCAAACAGAAACGCCGTTTACTAAATACGGGTCAAACTATTTATTTTAGAAATTATATCAACCCATTAAAAATTATTACCACAGTCACCCCAAACCAATTAATTTGCTTGAGTTCATCGGGAATCATAATGGTCATAAAATAATCAACAAATAACAGTTTTTTTCAACAAATATTTTGCTCGCCGTGGCAAATTTAGATCTGCACTCCACTAAGGAGAAAGATGTGTTGACTAAAATTTCATCCAGCAATTCCCTAATCTAGCCCGTACGGGTCCGCAAATGATCCCAGGACCGCAAATGATCCCCAAATTGGACCGAAAATGATCCCGGACCGGAAATGATCCCCGATAGGGACCGCAAATAATCCCGACTAAAAGATAAGGAATGGCATGGATGGTGGGAAGGTGTGGATAGGGAATTGGCGTACGTGAATACCGATGTTTTTATTAAAGCCATCTTATAATTATAATGGCTTACAACTTGCTT